TATTCATGCAAAGTCACTGGATAGCTGGCCAATCAGAGCACACCTCGCTTTTCAGACCGATGAGCTTTGTAAAAATCGACACGTTTCAGAAAGGTGGAGCATAGAGGAGAAACAATAATGTACAGTATGTGGAAAATATGTGTTTTTTGAACCTTAAACCGCATAAACACATTTCATTACACCAAATACACAAAATAATGTTCTTTTTAGCAACATCATATGACCCCTTTAATGTTAACTTGTTTATTACTATAGCCTTAACCTCTTCTAAGAGCTGAGCTCTTTCTTCAAATTAACCAACACCTTTGAGATTTGAGAAGAACGTGTTTCTGGTACAACTGTTCTGGTTATCCACATTTGCTGCACAATCCTGTATTGTGTTTACCTATTAAAAAAAATAAATAAATAACTGGTTCGGCACTGTGTGCCCATTACGTAATTGTGGAATTATTGTGTCATTTCTTATTTTGAATAAATAACACAGACTTTTCTCATATTTCCTACTTCTTTATTTGTTTCATATAAGTGTCTTCCCTTTTCTTCCAGTGTCCACAGCTCTTGCCATGTATTCCTAACTGTCTTTTTAATTAACCCTTTCTTTTCAGCTTTCCCTAGAGGGACATAAACATTATTCTTGAACTATAGAAACTACGGATCCAAGGCACTTCTTCCAGTTCCAAAATGTTAAAAAGCCTTTATTCAAACATGGCTCACTCTAGAAGCATTAAAAATGACTAGAACACTGCACACTGATGCATTTCGGCCATCCAGCCTTCCTCAGAGTGTGTCAAGTACAAAATTAGTCACAGGTGTAGATATAATCAGTTGCTCAATAGAAATGGGAGAAACCAAAATACTCATTACAGGGGGGACCAATAGCATCATTAACTATTTCGAAGTATAATCACATGTACAAAAAAAAAAAAATTATATATATATATCTTGATAATAATAATAATGATCGTACAGATAATCATTTCACAAATATGGAGTTAAATCTAATTCCTCATTCAAACCAGGAAAAATGGTGGCTTTTAGCTGAAAAATCCAAAAGGCTTCCCTTTGTAGAAGTCTTTGTAATCTATCACCCTTTCTAATCGATCCAGTTACAATTTCCAAACCAATAATTCTTAAAGTAGACGGATTTGAGTCATGTGCAGATGCATAATGTACTGCCATGGGGTAATCTTTGTTTCTTATACGAATTGCATTTTTGTGATCCCATAATCTATCTTGCAGTTTACGTTTAGTCTGACCCACATAGAAACAGTTACAAGGACATTGAAGCCTATAAATTACATGCGTACTTTTACAATTAATGAAGGATCCAATTAAATACAGTTTATTTGTGCAAACATCCATAAATGATTTAGTTTCAATTACATTCTCACAATGATTGCAATGTTCACACTTAAACATGCCTCATATTCCTCTGTCCAACCATGTTGTCTGTTTCATAGCAGGCAAGTGACTTCTCACAACTCTGTCTTTAATTGTAGGAGCCTTTCTATAGCTCACAATTGGAGGCTCCTGAAAAATCTCGCGTAGACTTAGATCACTTTGGATAATCCCCCAGTTCCTTTTTATTATACGCATGATGTCATGTGAGACAGTACTGAATTCCATAACAAAATGCGGTCATGTGGAGCTGTTCTTCTTGCTTTTCTTGTTGAGTAGGTCATCCTGTTGTAGTGGTGACACTTTATTCAAAGCCTGATCGACCACTCTTTTCTGATAGCCTCTCTGTTTAAAATGATATTTCATATCCATAGCCAGAAAATTAAATTCAGAGTCTTGATCACATATCCGTCTTAATCTTTGGAATTGACCCAGTGGAATGCTTTCTGTCAGATGTTTTGGATGAAAGCTCTTTGCGTGCAAAATGGTGTTACGGTCTGTATTCTTTCTGAAAAGTGAAGTATGTAGACATCCATCTTGATCTTTATAAATAGAAATGTCTAAAAAATGTATTTTCTCCTGATTGTATTCAAGGCTCAACTTAATGCGTGTATTTATGGAATTCAAAAATGCATGAATATTTTGTAATTCGGTTTCATCTCCTTCAAAAATCATGCAGATGTCATCAATATATCTGGTCCACCATTTTATTTTCGTAAAAAAAGGAATAGTCGTAGCATTAAACACATACTCCTCCTCCCACTGTCCCAAAAAAAGATTGGCATAATTTGGTGCAAAACATGCTCCCATAGCCGTACCTTTAACCTGTTGGAAAAAGTTATCTTCAAACACAAACACGTTATGTTTCAAAGTCCATTCCGTTAGTGTCAGGATAAATTCTGCTGGAGGACTCTCATCCATCAATCCAGATGTTAAGTAATATCTTAAGGCTCGAAGGCCCTCATCATGGTTGATGTTAGTATATAAAGCCTCCACGTCCATAACTACCAACAGAGTGGCAGGATCAACAGAACCAATGTCCTTGATTTTTTTAATTGCATCTGTTGTGTCCTGAATACATTTTCTTGAACACTTTAAAGGCTTTTTTGCCAACTCATCTGATATTCCATTTCTCACAATCCCACGTCAGCGTGAATCCACAAAAAGAAGACTTTTATTCCTAGATGTAGAATTCAATACAGGGTCTGAAGGGATTCTATAAGAAATTCCTCTCTTGAGTCAGATTTACCATTTTTAAGGCTAATAAAAAGAGTCAGATCAAATAATAAGTTAAGGCAAATGAACCTCTTCCACACATTGAAGGGCCTGATGAATAGCAACCGATTTTGAGGAGTATACAGATGTTATTTTACCTATTTTAAAATCCAACAGTGGAATGACTACTGCTACAGCTGTATGGCCAGATTCAGGATCTTTGGAACCATCATTATATATCTGAGTACAATAATGATACTCTTGATCTAAATACTGTTTCAATATCAAATATTTTGAGATCTTTCTCTGAGGGTCATTTTTTTTTTCCAGCAAGTGCCGATCATGCAATGGCATTGGGAATAAAGGAATAGCTGATATTGCCACTGCCGGATTAATTATATAATCAAAAATTCCTATTGTTTGTGAATAAAAGTCTCTATTGGCATAATAACTTAAAGAGTGCAAAATAACACTTCAAGATAAAATAAAGACATAGCCTAACTAATATTAAGAAAATATAGAATTATGATAATTGAATAATAGGTCGTTCCGTGTCAAATCAACCAAATTTAGATTGTTTTTGTTAATATAAAAAAAAAGGTTATGAAAGTATTAAATGTCATGGATGTGTATTTACTGGTTAATCCACAGGTTTGTAGACTTTATAAAGACAGCACCATCATTTTTTTATTTTTTCAAAGAGATCAGTAGGTCTGTTACTAAAAGCGGTTGACTTTACCTGACTTTGTTCCATTATATGCCAAATGTAACAGTTCAAAAATGGGGGAAAAAAACTTCTTGTGTCTCAAGAAGTATTAAAGATCATTTTAGATTCTGGTTCTTAAGAAATCTTTCTCAGTGTGGCTCCATTTTCAAATTGTTGAATTTTACCCATATTCAGTGGTCAAAAACCAAATGTGGTTCACCTTGCATACAGCTGATATTTACTGCATTTAAAAGGGGAATGTCTGAAGAATAAATAATATTGAAACTAGAAATGTATCTTGTTTCCACTGCATACAACATACCTCTCTGAGTGCCAAGAATCCTCTGAAATGGTCAGGTTGAGGGACATTAACTTGCTCTCAAAAGTGCATTTATAAGGATCCATATTTGAATCCGTTTCAGGAAAATTTGGAAGAAGAGTTTTTGTACATTTTTCACAGCTTCTGGAGCTACCAACAGTTCAGATATGCATTATCATAGCTAAATGTAGCACTGGCATCACAGTATCTTTGGGACTGAACAGGGCCTTCAACACGAACATTTCTAATTAACATTTTTATAGGAACAAGAATCTAAACTGATATTAATATATCTTTAAAATGTCTTGATTTCTTGAGAAAAAAACAAAACAAATATATATATATATATATATATATATATTGGCACTCAGTGAGGTATGTTGTCTGCCATTGTTTTGATAGAGGGAAACAAGACAAATTTCTAGTGAAAGATTGTGTATTCTTCAATTCAGATGCATTTACATTGTGACTGTGCCTCAGATGCAATCAACTGAAACTCTGTTTACAAAAATGTGACCCAAATGGCCCATATAATTAGCCCATTAGGTTGTGGTCCTATCAGGTCATCATGAGGTTACACTATCATTGGCTCTCCATGGGGTGTTATTGTATTGTTTGTAGCACATTTTATCAGCTGTATGCAAAGTGACCCACATTTGGTTTTCGACCACTGAAAATGTGTACTGTTAAGACCTTTAGGCGTCAGCCTTCTCAGAAAGAGATTTAAAAGTTTGTAAAGTGAAAGATTATGTGCACTTCAAGATGCATTTACATTTTGACTGTGCCTCAGATGCAATCAACTGAAACTCCGTTTACAAAAGTGTGACCCAAATGGCCCATATAATTAGCCCATTAGGTCAGCATTAGGTCAATGTATCATGAGCTCTCCATGGGAGAGGTCCTATCAGGTCATCATGAGGTTACACTATCATTGGCTCTCCATGGGGTGTTATTGTATTGTTTGTAGCACATTTGTTACCAGGTATGAAGGTCTGGTCTCACAGACAGTACCATGAATTAAGATTCTTTGAAGGACTACATGCTAACATCACTGTTGAAGAACTGCTACACTACTGCCTTCAATACATTTTTCTCCCCACAATAACTTTGGTCAAGCTTACTTATTTTATATTAGAGAAATCTAGTACATTGGCGAGCCACCCAAACAATTGGTCAGCCAAATACAGCAAAATCTGACACTGGTTTCAATATTATTTGTTCTTCATTCTCCTTTAAACACAATAAGTATCAGCTGTTTGAAAAGTTACCTATATTTGGTTTTTGACTCTTGGAAATAGGTCAAATTCAACAATTTGGACACATTGGGATCCCCATATCTATGGGACTGAACCATACAGGGTCTTAAAACTGAAAATTGGAAAAGAAAAGTTTATTAAGAATAAGAATGTAGAATGATATTGAGATATATTTAATACCTTTAGAGTTACATGCAGGCAAACTTTGGAAAAATAATATCTGTGATAATATGTAGGTATGCAATTGTGTTGATAGAAAAAAATGAGATGAAAGAGATGCCAAAAAAAAAAAAAAAATCTTTGAATGGGAATATCTTCAGGGGCAGACAAGGCCAAAACATTAAACAAAACAAACTTATTTTAGCAACTACCTTACCTCAAACAAAAAAATATAGAAAACAAAATACAGCTTCACTTCCCTAACTACCTTAACTGTAAACAAAGCGAAAAAGATATACAAATAAATTGGTGTCTACCCGCTGCATCCCTTATTTTGGCAAAAGTGTTACAAGAATATTAACCAACATATGTACAAGGACTTGTGGTGAACACAAATCAGAATGGGAGAATCAGAAATTAGGTTTACAATAACGTACACACTCACAGTTTCACTACAGTAAAAACCTATCTTTGGCATGGCACTCTTTCACAATCAAACGCAGGGGCAAACTTACCTATTAGGCAGTGCTGCTTTGTTTACAGCCGTAACCAGAGAAACTGCAATATTTCTGACATTCCAAAGGCGCACCCATGCTGGCAGAGAATGAATGTGCATTTTCAATAATCCTGTCTGCAGTTTTTGTTCAGACCAATGAGAAAATCCACCCACATAACCCCGTTTTAAATTAACACAATAATGTATACTTCTGACTTATCCATTTTCTTAAAAAAAAAAATAAAAAAAAAGTTTTAAAGGCTCAACTGTGAGGTTTATCATTTTATAATTTATTTTGTTTTTGTATCTCAACTGTAACCTAAATCAATTGCTATTTCGTGGTCTACAACATGAAAGAAAGCCATTATAACATGTACATAAAAAATGAATATTGGAAACATTGGACACAACTATGGGGCACCACTGTGCAGCAGCAAGCATCACAACAAAAAAGGAACCTCAAGGTTGATCTAGGTAAATGTGTGCAAATGTATAGGGTCCCATTTCTATATTTTGCCTGGGGCCCCCAATTCACTAAGTCCACCCCTCATCAAACGATGACTAAACGAACAGAGACGAAGGAAACACAATCAGTCAGGACAAAGGCGAAATACAGTGGCACAAAGTACAAATCAAGTATAAGTCAGCGACTCACGAAGGCAGAGGACGAGTGTTTGGTACAGTCCTTATATATCAAACAAAACAAAACATATGGACAGAAGAGTGCTGCCCAAGCAAAACTACGCTCTCACACGAGACCAAGCGATTGCATATGCTCACAACCCACAAAAACCCACATGGATCATTAATGTCCGAAGCCTGAACCGAAACCAAACTAGATTGAAATGCCAGGATCCAAACACCACACAAAGCAATTCACGAGGACAGAAGAGTGCATAATCTGAGCGAACTCAAACCCGCAAGACGATAGATGTGTCAGAGCTGTCACCAAACCAAGAATAAAACCTGACCCAAGTAACAGAACCCTGACAACATTTATATGTAAAATACATCTTCACAATGTCTGTCTCATTTTCTTTTGTATTATGTATATGAACTGCAAAATGATATACTGTATTAAACATAGCTTCATATATTTGTTAGCCTACGTATATTTTAATACAAATTATGGACATTTGCCATTACCCGTATTTTGCAGTTATCCATGTGATCCAATTTCAAACAAAATCAAAAGCAAAATTTAACAGTGTAGACTGCCCAAAATTAATGAGAAGCTGTTCAAATTTAATAAGAACATTCTATAAGTTTACAAAATGTTTGCATATATGATGTTTAAATAAACGTATTATTACAAATATATATTAACATAAATGGCCTTAACATACTGCACAGTACCATATAGAAATTAATTAAATAAATATAATCTTTTCTATAGGTATTTAATTTTTTCTATAGGAAAATCTATATTAATCAATATAAAATCCTATATAAACATACTGAATGTTTACATATATCGTTTAAATAAACTTGCATATATAAATTGGACATGTATTGTTTACTTATATGGCATTAACATACATTACCATACAAAAAAGGATCATGTAAATATTTTTAATATATGTATTCATACAAATTTTACTATGGGTATTTCATATGTGATATAAACTTATATCAAATCCTATATAAGCACACCAAATATTTGCATATATGTTGTTTAAATAGACTTGCATATATAAATTAGACATATATTGTTCACGTATATGGAATTAACATAAAGTACCATATGAAAATTCATCATATAAATCATTTCAATATATGAATATATAATAATTCTAATATGGGTATTCCATATATGGTATAAACCTATATCTTAATATATCGTGAGGATGTATATACAGTATGTGCTAATAATATATTGCCTTATATGAAAACATATGACATCACTCAGATATGGGGACATACTTGTACATATATTACAAGTCCGTATGGGAATGTGCAACTCAAATTCACACATGCTGCTAAAATAAAGCGTGTTCCTGATTTCATTACTTTTGCTGCAATTATCAGAGACGGCAGTATTTCAAAGCTTCAATAATGAAAGTGCATTTCATGGTAAATTATAAAACTCTTTCATCTTAAAGACTGTAAGAGGGATGCCGTGGAAAGATTTAGAAAGAGAAAAAAGGTTAAAACATACATAGAATTGCTTGTGCCAACCATAGCTATTTCTGCACCATACAAAAAACATCTTTTTTTTTTTTTTTTAAAGAAATTAATATAGCACAAACACTGAAGCAATCACAAATAAATAATTACAGCTGCATAGTGTAGCTCTAATTTAATTATCCTTCTGCCATTTACTGTATCATGCTGGTATCACAACAGTAAGTGGAAAGTCGTGGCCTGATGGTTAGAGAGTCGGACTAGTAACCGGTTGTGGTTGTGGGTTCGAGTCTCGTACTGGCAGGGATTGTAGGTGGGGGGAGTGAATGTACAGCGCTCTCTTCCACCTTCAATACCACGACTGAGGTGCCCTTGAGCAAGGCACCGAACCCCCAACTGCTCCCCGGGCGCCGACGCAAAAATGGCTGCCCACTGCTGTGTGTTTGTGTTCACTGCTGTGTGTGTGCACTTTGGATGGGTTAAATGCAGAGCACTAATTCCAAGTATGGGTCACCATACTTGGCCACAAGTCACGTCACTTTCACTTTTTTTAAATAAACACATAAACACAGTTAAAGGCTAGGTGTGGTTTTTCGGCAACCAATGTTAACTACAATGCTTGATAGCTAATTTGAAATAACCGTAAGCTCTATGAATGTAAGAAAACTGTCCACCACTTCAACAATGGCAAGTTTGTGACTGAAGGTAGGCAGATCAAGTGTGGTCAAATCTAGTGGGGATGACAGCTCAGCTAATGCTAATGCACTCCACCTGTAGTGACATAACGGATACTGTCTCCAGTGGCCCGCACAATGATGGTACTTTCGAGCTGACAAAACCAAACCAATGGAATCAGGCTTTGTTGGTAGCATGACACTGATCACCAACTTTCTTTGTCAACTCAGGCTTTGATCCTGAGTTCATATAGTGCATACAAATGAAAGTATCAGTAGCGAAGAGCCAGTCACTCCTTGATCTGAGTCTCTGGCCTATGAGGGACAGACATTAACAGATACAAAGTTTTGAGTCTCCAGCCCAAGAGGTAGGAAGCAATAATAGGTAACCAGCATTCTGAGTCTCCAGCCTGTCCAGCAAGACATTAACAGATACAACAACGCTCTGGTTCTCCAGCTTTTGAGGTAGTAACAGACACACAACCAAGTTGTGAGCTTCCAGTCTGAGGAAAAAGACATGATCAGATACCCTATGTTCAGAGTCTTCATCCAGCGAGACAACAATAGCAGCACAAAAAAGGTGTGTAATCATATTTTCCTCCCCATACATATATCTACATTCAAACACATACAAAACAAACATATAAACTATTTAATATTTATTCATATTGCCATTTATAATCTTTGATAACGCATATTAGTCAAACATGTGGGCTACAGATATGATATGGATTTATGCAATAGATCAATGTTTGATTATAAGACCTCTTATAGCATAATTTTGGGATGATCTTATACATTTTTTATATGTAAAGGCAGTCTCTGTGCCATTCCAAGAGCAGTGAGGAATTCAGTCCTGTGAGGAAGAGGTCAAAAGGTCTCAAGAGGGAGTCTGGTTTTAGCTCTCTTTCCTGAGCGGAAAATCAATGATTTTTCTTGTGAGAGTCACGATGTGCTGCGTTTTCGACCATTCGAGCTTCTTGGGTAACTGCCTAAAGTTGACAATGTTTGGATTATCTCATAAAAGCATCCTCTGTTTTAAGAGTTAGTTCGCTTCAGACTTGCTGGTGCCAGGGTCCCTTATTTTTGGATGGTCCTCCATGTTGACTTTGGGGTCTCCTGGAATTCTGATTCTTGGTCAGTTTCAGTTCTGATCATGTTATCACTGTTTGATTCGCTCTAAGATCCTACAACTAATTGCACCAGCTTGGACATGCTTCACTTTCAGTTAACTGAAGTAGTAAATGCTACATAATGGCAAGTGGCAATAATGGTTAAATGGTTATTGGAGAGTGAATCGTGAGTGAATTCATTCAAATTCTGAATGGATTATAGCACAAAGAGCGCTCCCCCTTATAATCAGGGGTGATTTCAAACCGTGTTTTTGAGATTGTCTTTGTTACAATGCAGTTTTAAGGAGACAATCCTCAGCAATGATGTTGACTGATGCATTTGCACTGGGTTTTTCTTTATGGATATTAAAAACAGACATGTAAACAACATTAAAAACTTGTTTTCCACCAAAGGGGCTTTAAATATTAGGTGTCCTGTGGAACACAGACAAAGGCAAAAAGTGACATTCCTTCCCATTTTTATATAAGCTCACCCCTATTTACTAAATTGAATAAGGCCAGTATGGATTGTTTATATGTAAATGTG